AGGCAGAGAAAACATGAAAGGCAGTGAGCTATGGCATCTTCTTGCTTCCCATTTTATTTCTTGTTTGGGTTTGAATTTCAAGTGTCCCTTTACCATTAAAGCTACATTACTTTTGCATGAAGACATGTGCAGCATAGGCTTGCTGGAATTTTTACTCCTGCAGGCAACTCAGCAGGAGAGATGGAAGAACTGATGCTGAGGCAGAAGTTTTTACTCTCTCCCAAAGAAAATTGGCCGATCCAGGCTTTCACTGGCCCACTTGATTACCCAAAAAAAAAAAAATCAAATCTCTTACTGGTATCCAACTCCACTCCATTCGACAAGCTATAATTTATGTTGGTGTATGGAAAATGTTCTTTGCCAAGTATGATAAACCAGAGAAGTTGACACCATTACATTAAAAATATAATAGACAACATACAAAATATCTGGATAGTATCTGCACTGTATGGCTAACTTCAGATAAATGAAAAAGGACTTTCTAAACCAAAAAGAAGCTTTTGGTTTGTGGAAGGTTTTTATTTATCTATTTATGTAACAGCATACACTGCTTTTCTTAATTGATAATATTCCTTTAAATGGCAGGGCATTTATTTTTAAAATCATACTCAATCAATCAACTTCTCTGGAAACAGCTTATTTGAAGGTATTTTTAGCCTGATGCAAATAAATACGTAAAGAACCAGACACACACACAAAGACATGTACATCCCTCTATGGCTTTCATTGCATTTATCAACAAAAAGGAAAGGAATCCACATTTTTTTCCTGCTTGTGGTGCACGAATCAAAATAATCACCTCCAAGTGCCTGCAGGAAAACAACGCCAACCTTAAAGGTTGAGCCTTTTTCCCTCTGCACTCCAGAGCACACATAACACGTACACAGTAAGCACAAAATAACATATTAATTCAAGGCTACAGTTTCTGAAATTGAACATGAACCAAAGCCTATGCCTGCAGGGCACCACTTGCAATTGTTACATGTACGCCCCTTCACAGAGACCTCAGAACATCACTAGAAAGCTGTACTAAAATAGCAGTGGACAAATATTTCCAAATAGCTTGCATGATATTTTCCCGGTCTACAAAGACAAAAGAAGTATACATTTTCCACAGCAAAGCAAAACACATGCACACACATAAAATCAATCAGCACAACTCCTTCTTACACACTGTATTTCAATTCAATGTGAAAAAAAGAGCCTGTTCTAGGATCTTTGTCTTCAACAGTATGGCATATTGCAGCGCTGTGCAAAAGATCTGATTTTTATGCGTTTAAGCAACAACATAAAACCATTTTCTACCTTGGTGCTTGCTCAAATAAGTGACACAGCTGCAGCAAAGAAATGTTAGATTCATATTTTTCTTCAGGGAAAAAAAAGTGTTCAGAGCCAGTACTCTAGTGAGTCTTGACATCAGAGATTACAAACTCAGAAAGGAAGTGTGGACAAGCGCAACCACATTCACGGGATGGTGTTTAAGGACTTTCACATTTCACCAAGCTGGTCATCTTCACCAAGCATCCTTCTGTTGCTCATTGGAACAAAAGGAGTTTTAATTTAATCTTTTTTTTTCCCCTCAGAATATAATTAATTTACATATAAATGTATTCACAAGTATGACTCGAGGATGGCATTAATTTCATCTGAATGAACCCTGCCTCTAGTGAAAAAGAGCTAGAAAGACATCTCCAGGCTATGCCACCTTCCAGCCTGACTACGTGCCTACATGACTTTACAATTTTGGAGAAGAGCAAATCAACACAAATTGCAAGGCTAAAGTGTAAATTTTTTTGAGTACTTCTTCTAAAGCTTAGAACAATTTCTTTGGTACTTGAGTCACACATATAGATGTTTGTCTTAGTGGGTAAGGAAGCATCAGTCTAAAACACAGAGGCTAAAGCAAAGAGAATGCAGCAAATCAAACTTGAGTGTATTAACAGTTCAGTGGCTATTTGGTATATGAAAAATTATATAGGAGACATAGAATGTTAAAAAAACTGAGCAAAAAGCAGGTATAACAACTGTAGGCTTATAAGGTGGTATTCTTTCTGAAGCATTCTTCTTTTGAGGTAGTCTGAGATACAAGAGCAAGCACCATGAAATGCAATTATTTTTTTCTTCCCCAAAGATGCTATTGCCTTTCTTTGATGATACATAACAGCAAGGTGGTTCTCTCTTACGTCTAATTGAGATACGATAAGGATTTAAAATTTTGTAAGGGAAGAGGATTGCACCAATTAAAGACCATATAATCTGTTGTGCTACTTATCTATCTCATTAATTTCCTTTTCCCTTTTCTTTCCCTCTCTTTTAGAATCAGGAAATAGAACAGATGGTCCTGGAGAAAGAAAACAAGGGAAAACTAAGAAAATGATGGAACATGTGAAATTAAAGACTAAACTGAAGAATATGAAGCAGCAGAAGAAAGTGAGATATTTCACCATGGAATACAAAGGTAAACAAGAAAGAAAATTAGAGGAATAGGAAAGAGCGTACAGAGGGCTCCTACTGTTCAAGTGTACCTTTGACAAAGGAGCAAGGTGCTCTACAGAGAAGGCAAACAAAAGAGAAAAATATTTCAGTAGTCAGAAAACTACTGTACTCAGAATCATAAGGATATGTAATGAAGAACAATGCTGATGAAAAAATGCACAGAGCAGATAGTGAATCATAGAATGGCTCGGGTTGGAAGGGACCTCAAGGAAAGCTAATGAAATTGCAGGAGGTCCTCCAAAGGTATTCAGAAGAGAGAAGGAACAAGGAGCTTCAGGCAGAAATATAATGTCCATACAATAAGGGAAATTAAGCAGCAGAAAAACATGTGGAGGTTAACACCATAATCCTGGAATTTACACTGTGAAGAATGAACAAGGACACTGGATGCAATATTACCACAGTAAGTCACTGCAGAAGCAGCAGGAAAATAAGCAGTATGAAAAAGTAGAGATCTGTGATTCTGAAGAGAGAGAGGGGGAAAAAGTATTATTTTTTGCATACAGATCCCTTCTATCTGGGATTAGAAAAATCACTCTGGCCACTGACACAGCACATTATCCAAATGAAAAAAAGTGAGAGAGAGGGAGCCAGTTAGGGGCACTGAAAATGAAGAAGCCTACGTAGAGGGACAATAATGATTACCTACTATCTGGAGATGAACTGGATATTATGCAAGGCAAAGGTGAGGGCAAGCAGGGGAAACGTCTGAGCTGAAAGACCAAAGTTTCAGGCATTTACCACAAACCTCACGTGAGGCAGCTGAGACGTGAGAATGAGGAAGGTTCTCACAGAAAGGACAACAAACATTTAGAAGCAACAAGCTGTGCTTTAAGAGAAAGAAAAAGAGAATTCAACTTCTCACCTTATTATTGCTATTTAGAATGGCTTTAAATATTAATGTAATACATTGCATTAAATAAATAATCAGCTTTAACTGAATTTTATAGAGTTGTAGCTGTGTTTGTCCATTTAACTTGCTTACAGATGTTTTAGTACAAATCATTTCCCAACCATTAAGTTGTTTCTGGGAAAATGTAGTATTATTGTTTGTCATGTCAGATTTTCTAGCTTTGCCCTTCCCAGATATGTACTGAGTTACAGAAGTTTTTGTCTGATCTCAATAAGTCGTAGACTAGTTGAAACTACAATTGACCTTACTTGCCTATGTTAAAACCATCTTTCCTTTACAGCTCTGCCCTCTATTCTGATACCTCTGACAGAATTCTTCTTTGTCAAGAAGTATTTTTCATCATTTTAATATCAAAACTTTTTTTCCTTTAAAGAGGATTCTTAAGGTCAATAAGTATTTTTCATCACTATCTACATACAACTCTTTTCTAAATTGCATATTATTGACCTTAAAAACAGACTGACATTTCACATAAATATGAAGCTGTACAAAAGAAATCTATCCTCATAAGCTGATTTTTGGTATCTATCTTAGCCTCTGTTTTTCACTTTCAGAGAGAGAAAAATATTTATTCCTCCTGTCACTTACAGGAAGCCACAAAACCTTGCCTGTGATGTCGTTGCTTGCTCTGGAAATAACTCACACTGCAAATAGGGCTACAGAGTATAGAAAAACCTCAACAAGGACATCGAAAAATATTTGTCTGCACCGTAAACCAAAGTAAGTTAGAGTTTTACACGAACTACATTTAAAACAGTTTAAAGCATTTAAGCAGGAAATTTTTTAAAAGTTTTCTCTAAAACAGTATATATTTTCAAATATACTACTATTTTAGTTCATACATGTCATCAGAATGAATTTTCTTCAAAGTATTCTACACACACCCTGTACAATTTATACAGCAGCTACTATGTGTAATAAATATAATAAATATAGGAATTAAAAAAATCATATTCCATAATCTTGAATGCAAGTGTTTAGGACTTGGAATTAAGAAGCTAGTAGGTTGTTCTTCAGTTTTATAGAGATTCTTTCTTATAGCTGTATATACATATACTATGTATATGTATTCTACCTGAGCTGAAATATTCATCTTCTCATGCTTACCGAATTCATTCCACTGAACAGATCTCCTGATCCTACATGAGCTGTGTGAACAAAGTTTGTCGGCTCCCCAATCATGCTTCGATCAATTCGCCGTCGTCTTTTCTGAAAGGAAGGTAAAGAAAACATCTAACTGGGAGTCACCGAAAAGGCAAAACCAATGTGTGTCATACATGTAAAAGTTACCTGTCCATAGGATATTTCATACACTGTAAGATATTGTCATAGAGTGAAAAAGCAGAGACCAAATTCCCAGGCTAACCAAGGCATTCGTTACACTGTTTTTACTTCGAGGATCTATAGCAGATCATCAGACCAGCACTGATACCACTCCTAACATTTAGGCCAACAAAACATTCGTAAATAACCTTACTACATTCCGCAGTTTATTAAGCAATATTTGCAACATTTCACACAGTAACTTCTGTCTACATTTGTATTTCAATCACAATACAACAGATCAAATTTGAGGTTTAGTCATTCAAAACAAGAGTTAAGGATCAAAGCGCATTAGTATAGCCTATGAAACTGCTAACTTACAGAATTTCTGATCTGCATGCCATGGGAACTTATGTCAGTATTTGTAATATACTTCATGGTAATGTCCAGAACAATGCCTTGGGTTTGATCAGGGTTAGTCACAGGCATATCTTTACGTAACCCCATATACTGAGATAACTTCAGTCAGCGTGGTTGCAGAGTGTGAGCCGAAGGGGTGCAGTGTGATAGTTAAGCTTCATTTTTACTACAGTAATAACATGCAAATGAAAAATTGGAGGCAGTAAGGACTTCCTCTAATTAAAGCTGCATTGGTTGCCTGCCTCCAGCTAAGTATTGCATCTAAAGGAAGGAAACAAGAAAACTCTATCCTTATTTCTTAGACCAGAGCCAGAGAGCTTAAACAGAGCAAACCACGCAGTGTGCAGTCACCATATGCCCATACCTTGCATTTCAAAAAGAAAAAAAACAATAGCCATAAAGCATAGTACAAACATCTCAATTTACGGTGTGTCATGCAAAATACAGAGTAATAGCTAAGAAACTACTTGTGCTCAATTAAAAGCGTCCCATCATCTTAAAGTCCACTCAGTCTCATTTTTAAAGGGATCTCTGTTTCTAACCTGCAATGAGATCATAAGACCACCCAGACTTGAGACACAAAGGTACGTGCCTCACGAGTGGGCTAGCTGCTACTGAAACACAGCTACAGATTAAATCTGTATGAATCAGAGCCCACAACTATGTGACTACATCACGGGGTTTAGCCAGCAAGTACAAAACACATTTAATCCTTTCCTGTACCTTTCCCTCTTACTAAAACCAGATTTCAGTATGATTCAGTACTTTACTCCATCGTATAAACAGCTGGGGCAAGGAGAAACACATAAAACAGTCCCATAGAAATAGCAAACCAAAATGACCTGACCTATGCCACAACTATTTGTGAATTCTCTACTCCCAACAGATTTTACAAGAACAACCAAATAAACAATCATAGCTTTAAAAAACATCTTCATGTAGTTTGAGGGCTTTCACAGAGAAAATGTTTATGGACGTTAACCGAGATGTCTCAATTACAGAAAACATTAGTAGAGTTCATGGAGCCAAAAGTAGCTATGACAGGATCTATTACTGTGTCCCAGCAATGTATTAACATTTCAATCTGGAAGTCAAACTCACTTACACATGCAGCAATCGATTTCTTAAGTTATGCATGATATCAGCTAGTAAACCACATGTGACCAACTTGGGGGGAGAGACCCCACACCAGGTTTATGCTTCCACTGGATGAGAACTGCTCACCTGGCATATTCAGGACAAGGAGCACCTCCATTAGATGTGATGATTATTTTAAATGCACATTGCTGTATTTACACAATATAGTATTGTAATATGCTGCAGCTCTGACCCAGAAAGAAGCTCTAGAGAGCTACTGGAAACACATCGCTCCAATCAAAACACTTAGAATTGTTTCAGGTCTGCAGTAGTCGCCTCTATCTCCTTTTTTAAAAAAAAACAAAACCAGCCAGATTCTGATTCATTTATACATCTAAACAATACATCCATGATTTCTTGGTTTTAGTAGAGTTTTGATAGAAAATTCAGACAATCTCAAAGCTTTTCGAATTTTTTGTTTGCTTGTTTTGCAAGGAACCAAACTTTTTCTTTGGGCAATTCAACTTTCCTCCTTTACTTGTTGTGAGGATCACTGGTATGCCAGTAACAGAATTAGAGCGCTAGATCTTGTGAACGACTGTAAATGATTCTCCACTATCATCAGCTAGTCAACCAGTAACAACTAGTGAATTGCCATCAAACTCTGTTTCTTATCTTAAGCGAGTTTCTTATCAGAGACCATCAGCCAGTTACACCCTGGCATGTGCCCACTGACGTGATCTCCTTGAAGCAATGGAACAGTATCTAAATGCTTTGCTGTATGAAGAACACAAAGTAGCTCACTCTGAAAGCAAATCAAACATTGCTTTTTTGCTGCAGGAGCACTCAGTTTGCATTTACATTAGTGTTTTAGCTTGGATCATGAGCATGCTTTTGAAGTAACTTTGCCAGTCCCCATGCTTCAATTTTAATTTCTGAGTAAACTTGGAGCGAACAAATTAGACTTCTTTGGGGTGAAGCTAAACTAGCTGACGCACTCCCATTGCTAATGGACATTGAGGCCAATGGACCAGGAGAGTCAGTCTGAAGCAGACCACAAAAGACATCTAATGCACATCACGGCTCCCCGACATGAACTGTTCTGCTCTCTTACATCGCTGCTCCTACTGGGATGTGCCATGTCTGTAGACACAGCATCAGCTAGAATCAAAATGACCAGCCCTTCGAGAGCAGCCCTGAGGAGAAGGACTTGGAAGTACTGGTGGACGAGAAGCTCAATATGAGCCGGCAATGTGCTCTTGCAGCCCAAAGGCCAACCGCATCCTGGGCTGCATCAAGAGGAGCGTGGCCAGCAGGTCGAGAGAGGTGATTCTCCCCCTCTACTCTGCCCTCGTGAGACATCACCTGGAGTACTGCGTCCAGTTCTGGAGTCCCCAACATAAGAAGGACATGGACCAGTTGGAGAGGGTCCAGAGGAGGGCCACGAAGATGATAAGAGGGCTGGAGCACTTTTCCTATGAAGACAGGCTGAAAGAGTTGGGGCTGTTCAGCCTGGAGGAGGCTCCGGGGTGACCTTATAGCGGTCTTCCAGTACCTCAAGGGGGCCTACAAGAAAGATGGGGAGAGGCTGCTCAGGAGGGCCTGTTGTGATAGGACAAGGGGTAATGGTTTTAAAATAGAAGGAGGTAGATTCAGATTGGATATTAGGAAAAAATTTTTTACCATGAGAGTGGTAGAACACTGGAATAGGTTGCCCAGAGAGGTGGTGGATGCTCCATCCCTGGAGACATTCAAGGCCAGGCTGGACGAGGCCCTGAGCAACCTGATCTAGTTGGAGATATCTCTGTTCCTTGCAGGGGGGTTGGACTAGATGACCTTTGAATGTCCCTTCCAGCCCTAACCATTCTATGATTCTATGATTCTGTGACCAACCAGTTAGCAGGGGTGAAGAGACACGGGGAGTGCTGTAAAAAGTCACGTCTTTTCGAGGAACGTAACACAGGAGACAGCAGTAGGGGACCATGCCTGGAAAGGTTACAAAGCTTTTACATAGCAGACTATAAACACTAGCTTTGCCAGGATTTTATTATAAAGTTGTATTTTCTGAGGCCCTGTACCTGTAAGAATACATGCAATACCATTGTTCTATAAACAATACAAATTAACACACAGATTGATTCTTCAGTAAATTCACTATATCTAATTTGAAAGAAGGTGGGAAGCAGCACAGTTATATATTACTTAAGAAAAAATGAATTTTACAGTTATGCTCATTTCCCCATGTATGTCTTGTGCCTTTGAATGCTTGTTCCTAGTGCAAGTCACGTGCCTGAGCTGACAGAGCCCAACGAAAATTCCCACTAGCCTTCACCCATTCCCTAAACTCTGCTTGATAATGTACCATAAATAATCAGCCTTAGAATACATATACACCACTAACCATTGTCGTGATAAGATGTGACTACAGAGGTAATCTGTAAAACAACTGCATGTTTATGATGCTAGTGCAAAGGACTTGAAGCTACATGCACCTGAATATCTGTATCATCTAAAGGTTTGTTTTAAAGATGTTTCTGACAGAACACACATATATCCCAACTCCGGCAGCATAACTGCAATGAGACCCTATGTCCTGTATCTGTGTTTCATGTGGATGCTTTTTTAGCAGGGTGGGAAGTAGAAGAAAGCTCACGTTATGATTAGCTAACTTATCTGCTAGCTTGTTAGTTAACTTTCTTGTTAGTTTGGGTCAAGTTACTGAAACATTTGGTATCAATCTTAAATATTTACATAGTCTTTAAACAAAAGTAGAAGAGATGCAAGTTTGTGTGCTAAATGTTTGGGAGGAATGGAAGCAGTCTGAGGACCCGTCTCAGAAGCTTTGCCTGGAACATATACTAGATGCAATAAAACTGGATCACTTTTCAGTTACCATAGTAATGAATGAAAGAATTGATGTCCCTTCTATTCTTAATCTGCAAGTGATGCTTTGCTCCCACATAGGGTAGCATCTCTTTTGAAGTACAAGATCAGAATTCAGAAAGCCACCAACAATTGCATCACACAGAAATTACTGTAACTCTGCAGTTTCTTGAAACTTTTGATAAACAGTTTTAAACTTCTCTTTAAAAAAATTAAGCTAATTATACCATGTATTCAACTTTCTCTTCAGTAAAGCCACAAGCATTTTACTAAAATACCATTTTCTTAGTTCAAAACCTACTTATTGCAAGAAATTCAAAACTGTAATTTGTTTCTTTAAACAAATAATTGCCACTGATGGGTCCAGAGGCATAAAAAATTTCCTTTTTAGTCCTCTCTATTTTTGGCTTGCAGGGAAGATGTGATCTTTTTTACCATCTCCAAATTGCATTCAGAGGCTGGGTTGTGCTTCTTTGGCTCACTTCATAGTGATGGCAACAGTTTTGAATTAGATAAGTTCTCTGCCTATATATACACATATAAAAAAGAAAAGTTTTGGAAATCTT